TCTCTGAGAACTACTGCATCAGCCTCTTTCTGGGCCTCCTGAACCATTTTTCCTACTCATTAGAGTCGTACAACAACATGGCCCCATCAAGGGACGTTGTGAAGTGTGAAGTGCCACATGTGTGTGAACGCAGCCTTGCTGGTGGGATTCTGCTGCTCAGGAACCTGCCGTCTCCAGCTGCCTGCCAGATCAACGCCTAACTCCTCAACTTCACTCACAGAAATACCCAGTTCCACCTGTCCAACTGCATTTCCTAGCTCAGGTCCCCAGGGACCCTCCACTCCAGGCAAGCTGGATGTCAACCAGCAAACCCACACAGTTCTCTGCTCTCCTAGCTGGGTGACCTTGGCTAAGATATTTACATTTTTCTGTGGCTCAGTTCCCTGAACTCTGAGGCAGGGATCAGGGTAGTGTCTAACTCACAGGGTTGCTGAAAGGAGTGAAGTCAATACGGGTAAAGTGCCTAGAACAGTGCCTGACACACAACAAGCACTTGTTACCAGTTAGCTCCACTGCGTGTAATCATCGGCGCAGATTCATGGAGGGAAAAGAGAGAAATCAGATGCAGATCGTTACCTTTAAACAATTTCTGGATTAGCAGGGTGACGAGTTACTTAGCCACCTGCATGGTGGATGGAGGAGGGACATGGGAAGGTGAGGGAGCTCCTTCCCTTTCCCCATGTTTCTGTCCTGTTTGCCTCTTTACCAGCTCGCTCTCTCAAGATTGCAAAAACTGGTCAGAACTCAATGGTCAGAAACTCACTGACTGGGCCACTTTACAATCATTCAGATCATTATGCCTTAAGATAAGCAAGCATGCATGGTTCTTTTCGGTCCCAGGGAGGGTCTGGCCCCAAGGGCAAGTCAGGTACCATCATCTTTTGTGGCTGGCTGGGTTAAGGCTCAGGATCTGTTCCTCAAACCTGGCCATCTGAGCGGCAGGGAGATGGGAGTGGGAGGCTTCCCTTGGGACCTAACCCCAAGCCAACATCTCACACAGTTCTTTGCTCTTGTTTTTCCCCAGAGAATCCACAGAATGGGTATTTGCCCATAATCAAATGGTAATCCACTGCATAGTCTATCGTTGTTCAGAATATATAGATTCTGGTTTGAGAAGCTCAAGGGAAAGAGGTGTGGGTACAAGTACCAAGACCCTATCCAGACTCCTGAGTGCTGACAGCCCACAGGTCATGGCAGGGTTAGGAGTGTGCCCTGGGAGAACAGCCTTGCTTATTGGCCCAGGATGGGAGGGGGAGAAAATCAGGGAAGGCTCCCTGAAAGAGGTGGCATTTGAGCCAGGACGGCAAAGATAAACAGCGTAGGCTAAGATAATGAATTCTGAAAACCAGCATAGTTAAAACAACACATAATTTAAATTTAAAAAGTGAGTACATGAAGGGGTGATCAGAGAAACCAAATCAGGCAATGCACAGCTTCTGGACTGGGGGTCCTAGGCAACCAGACAGAAGAGAGATGGTCTGTGGACAGGGTCAATAATGGTCAGTGGGTCTCCCCCAGCTTCACTGAAATCCTTATTCCACCCTCTTGCTCTAATTCCCCTTTTCTAGTTGCACATGGCCAAGCCAGCTCTTCATTGCAAACTCAGTTTTTTTGGCTATTTGGAATCTGTGAAGTGGGGACTTGGCATGGAAGAAGCCAGTGGCCTGATTGCCTCAAAAGGACAACTCCGTTTATTCTGTTGGGAAAAAAGAACAGTTTAGGGCTGGGTCATAGTTCAGTGGTGGAGCGTTTGCCTGGCAGGTATGAGGCACTGGGTTCGATTCTCAACACCACATATAAATAAAATAAAGGTCCACTGACAACGAAATAGACACACTCACACACACACACACACACACACACACACACACACACTCCTAAAGAATAGTTTAAAGGCACGATTCCACTTGCCACTTCCTCCAAAGCAATCAGCCTGTGTCCTTCCTTCCCCACTGAATCTAAATCCACCCTAAGGAGGGTCACCCGCTGCCTCCCATCTCAAGTCCATCGGCTACCTGGAGCGCCCATGCCTTCTTGCTCATGGTGGTTTGGGACACTGTTTCCAACACCTTCTCTCTCATGGTTTTGCTTCTCTGACAGTCCCTTTTAAGACAGTGTCAACAATGGTTTTTAAGACTCCCTCCTCAGGACTTATAGGGTGAAAGCCCAGGTCCAGGGTAAACTAGCAGAGGTGCTGCTACCCCTGAGAGGTCCCCCCACAAACATCCCCACCAGCTCATGGTAGGATCTGTATCTGAAGAGGAAGTGAGAAACTGTCAGAGGGCAGGGCAGAAGAACAGGAAGTGGGCACTTGGGGCAGGTGTTATAGTCAGCTTTTTCACTGCTGTGACTAAAGGACCTGACCAGAACAATGATAGAGGAGGAGACGTTTATTTAAGGACTCACAGTTTCATAAGTCAATCCATATTCAGCAGACTCCATTCCTGGGGCTCAAGGTGAGGCTGAACATCATGGTGGAAGAGTGTGGCAGAGGGATGGGGTTCACAGATGATCAGGAAGCAGAGAGAGTCTTTACTCTCCAGATATCCCAAAGCCAGGCCCCCAGTGAACCACTTCCTCCAGCCACAGCCCACCTGCCTCATTACCACCCAGTTAATCCCATCAGGGATCAATTCACTAATTAGGTTAAGGTTGTACCCCAATCATTTCTTCAGCAAACTTTCTTGCACTGTTTCACATATGAGCTTTTGGGGGGGGGCGGGACACCACATCTAAACCATAACAGCAGGGAATGGGAAGAGTAGCAGAGATTGTGAAGGGGAACTGGGCGAGGGTAGAAACTCCAGAGAAGGGAGTCCGAGCTTCCTCCAGGGAGCAGGTTGAAATTGTCACAGGTTTTTAAATGCAACACCAACAGGGTTAGAGGTGGGCTTTAGGAAGGGTAAGCCTGTTGTATGTACAGAATGGATGGGAGGGGCAACCAGAGATTTGAACACACATGACAGCATGCCCTGCCACCACTGGATGGTCACCTCATCTAAATGCCCTCCCTCTTCCATCTCACCAGTCTTTCATGCCTCCAGCTGGACCCCACATAGCTGTCCTTGATTATAGGGCCCACCTGATGTCCAAGTTCATAAAACTTGACCATGCAATTAACAGATCCTTCTCTCTGTATGCCTAAACTCTGAGCTTGTCCTTCATATGTTAGGCATATGTACCCAATGAGAATATAAGCTCATGTTAATGTCACCGGGCAGTACTAGGTTAGATGTATGCAGAATAAATATGCATCAGAAGCTTCCAGAAACAGATGGGTTTCAGAATATTTATCCTTTTCCAGAGTGACAGGTTCTGCTTGTTGTCCTCCAACTCTGCCTGCCATTTACACCTTCTTCCTGGCCACATGGCTGCCCAGCTAGAGGACTGCACCTCCTAGCCTCCCCAACAGCTCTGTCATGTAATGACATTTTTGCCAAAGGAAGATGAGCAGCAGTGATTTGTGCAGACAGCCTAACAGGTAATTGCTTACCCTGAACTTCTCTATTTCTTTCCCTTAATCTTGAACAAGGACATGCAAGCAACCTGGCTTCTACCACACAGATGAGGTCAGAGGGGTAAAGGACTGTGGAGCAACAATTGGAAAGAATCTATGTCCCCAAATGACCTTATGGAATAGAGCCCACCCACCAGTCCCAGAGCAGCCAGGTTCTTATCTGCAAGAAAAATTCTCTCTCTTATTTAAGCCACTATATGTTGGGAGTCTCTGTTTCAGAAGTTAAGACTACTTAAAAAATATATTTTCCCCAAATCTATTCTCTCAATTTCCCTTAATATAGTAATTCCATTTTTTGAACTGGGTCTATTATGTCTCAGCGGTGAGGTTACCGTTTCCAGCTGCCTTTACACCTATGTGTGACCACATAACTAAGTAAGTAGAATTGTTAAATGGAACCTCCAAGTAATCTCCTTATAAAGTAGTCAATGACCTCTTCTTCCTACTTCCTTTTTCCCACTATCTGGACGGTGAGGGTAATGGCTGGAGCTCAAGCAGATATTTAGGACCATGAAGTTACATGCTAAGAAATATAAAGAAGCAGAAGAGCAGGATCCAGGGTCTTGGAAGATCAGGGAGCCGCCACACAAATTCTGGATTACTTCCAGCTTTCTTTACAAGACAGAAAATTCCATCTTGTGGAAGGCATTTATGCTGGTTGCATATAGATGAACCTAATCATAACTAATAGAAAACACCCATGAACAGATCCCAACATTTCAAACCCCAGCTTGATTGCCAGATATCCCTCTTAGCCAAAGAAAAGGAAAATGACTACTTTCCAAAGTTGCAGAAGTAAGACAGTTTCCACTCCTGAATAGAGTCAGTTTGCCTTTTGTGCTCATTGAAGCAGCTCTACAGGGAGGCTGGTGGCTGACAAACCCCCAGTCTTCCAGCCCAGATGGCCCCAACAATGGTGGCTCACACTAGGGTACCAGAACTGCTGTGGCAGAGAAGTGGGTTGGGAGTGGGGAGGGAGATGTGACCCAGCTCTGGTGCTAGGGCAGTGAGCACCAACAGAACGCTAAGAAGATGGGGTGCTAGTCACCGCAAACTTAGGTCAAAACAGATGGGGAGGAACAAAGCAGCATTTCTCACTAAAGTGGGGTTTCTACTTTCCACCAACTGACCAGGTCACACACCCCAGACCAGATGGTGGCCTCCTCCGTGGCTKGGAGGGTGGAGGCCAGGGATCCTCAGTTCAGCACTCCTGTCCACAGCCTCACAGGACTTGGGTGACCACCTCCCTCTCCAGGCTCAGTCTCTCCACGTGTAAAGCAGACAGCAGAAGCTGACAGCTCTTGGGCCCAGCCTCCAAGCCCGTGGGGGTCTGAGTGGAGCGCTTCCCAGCCTGGCCGTGGCGGTGCTCCGCTGTCCCCCATTGGCATTCTGACCAACCCCCTCCAGCCCGCCCCATTCCTGCCGCCCTGGGTCCCCACCCCCGACTCCCCTCTCGCTGCCCCTCACCCTCCTGCAGCCTCACCATCATCTGACAGATAGCGCAGGTCGTAGAACTCCCCGGCAAAGGTGCCGTAGGAGGAGTCGTGTCGCGGCACCGCCTCGTCTGCGCCCGCGTCCCCCCGCGCGCGGCCCCGGGGTCCCCGGCCCCCCGGGCCCGCGCCATCGTCCGCGGGGCTGGCAGCGCAGGCGGCGGGCCCCGCCAGCAGCAGCAAGAGCAGCGGCGCCCAGGCCCGCGGGCACTGCCAGGGCGGCCGCGCCATCGCTGCGCACCGATCCCGCAGCCAGGCCGCTCCGGCCGCAGCGGGGGCGCCGCGGGCGCGGGCCGGGACCGAGCCGCCGCCGCCGCCAGCACGCGCCCGCGCAGCCGCGGAGCCGCCGCACCTCCGCCTCCCGCCTCTGCTCTGCGCATCCTCGCTCCAGCCCCGCAGCCTCCCCCTCCACTTACCACCGCGTCCTCTCCTTCCCGGTAGATTCCCTTCTGCGTCCTTCCTCCCATTCTCCCCATCTCCCTCCTCCAGCCTTCCACCCTTGCGGATGTGACCTCTTCTAGGCCTAGCCACTCAAAGTGTGGTCCCTGGACCAGCAGGGTCAGCATCACCTGGGAGCATCACTCATCTCAGGCCCCACACCAGACTCCTAAATCAGCATTTGCTTTTTACCCAAATCCTCAGGATCCCACAGTTCCAATTCAGAAACGTTCTTCTAGGGGGTTTACCCTGGTCACGACTTGCTAAAACTGCTGCCTTCCCCCAACTTGTTTCTGCACCTTCTCATTTCTACGGAAAACCTATTAGACCCGTTATTTCTTGGGATCAACTTGGAAGGAACTTGAAATGGAAAGATCTCACTGAGGTGGTCAGAGGGTAACTTGCACCATTGAAACTAGGCAGCGGGTCCTCCGCAGCAGGCAGCATGGGCCTTGACCTGGCCCATACCGTGTCTGGTGCCCACGCTGAACTCTCCACGTTTCCAAAACCATTCCTACCACTTAAATTCTCTGTTATTTACTCAGTCATCCAGGTATTCACAACGAGCACTTACTATGTGGCAGGTCCCAGGATCCTCTACTGATGACAGTTGTTGGAGTGATAACAGGTTGAATCTGCTAAGCTGTTTTGGCTAGAGACAGGAACGAAATTCTTTTCATGTAATGTCAGCATTTTGACTTGATTTCCTGTTTCTTTCTTTCTTTTTTCTTTTTTACTTTATTGCATAAATAAATTAATTAGGGAGGCAGAAAAGCATAGATTCTAAATGCAGGCCTAGAAGTCAGACTGCCTAGGGTAGTGATCAGTAGTTGCCCATGATCAATAATCTTCACGGTGCAATGGAGATTTAAGAAAACAGATGTACAGATCAGTTGGGTTCAATGCTCTCGATGGCATGAATGAATATGCATAGAATTATGAAACATTAATATTCAAAAGGAAACTAGTGAGTGACCTCAACCTTTTATGGCCTGGTTGGCTGGGAGACAGGGGACAGCTGTTGACATAGGGAGTCATTCTGAGAAACCCCAAGTTCAGGTTTGTCACTGGGTGTCAGCTGCTGATGGTGGGTTGTCCAATTGAGGTTTAAACATGTTAATCCTGACAGCTGAATCAAGATGTAATTCATGAAAACCTTCAGTTTTAATAGATCCTCCAACATACTAGTTGTTTTAAGAAATCAGTCACATTTATTGTTTGGAAATGGTTGCGGTAAACTATAATTATTTAAAACAAGATTCCTTCCCTGAAAGCATAGCTTGGCAATGCATACAATTATAAAATATAATTCCAATAAATTGAAAATCTGTTAAATCCTAAAAAAAAAAAAAAAAAAAAAAAAGACCTGATCCCTTCTCAAAAACTGCAATCTGTTCCTTTTCTTTTCTTCCCATTCACCAGAGCAGCAAACATGGGCAGTTTTAACTGGACCTACATTTGGCTAAAAACAGAAAGCATCAGACTTCTGATTTCAGTGTTGATTCTCTGGTTTGGGAATTCAAGCTGCTACCTATTACTTTCTTTAATTTCACTTATTACAATGAACAGTAATGGCACTTCAATAGAAGAGAAATGAAAACCAGGTCACATCCGTCTCCTAGTGAATGGTCTGGTAAAAGCACATGGGCTTTCTATTGGGAAAGGGGGAGTTGCAAACACAGCCTAAAACACAGCCTTGCATGTAATCTGTGGATTTTAATTATCCACTTCTCTTCAAGTACCTGGTGTCCATAGACTCAAAAGAGGCCACAGATAGGCTCAGAGGTCGTGTGAGCTTATGAAAATGCTGAAATAATGTTGTGATGCATGAATTTTTCTAGAGGGGCAACTTCTAGCTTCCATGGGTCAAAGTCTGCATGTCTCTTCAGGGACTTAGAAACCTACTTGGGTTTCCAAATCCTATAGAACCTACTTCTACCCTTTCACAAGATTCTTTCCAATCTACTTAAATTGCATTTTGGGGTTTTCTTATTTTCTTACAAGATTTAAATTCTGGAAAGACCCTTAGCAGGAATGGAAGTGTAGTTCAGTGGTAAGTGCTTGCCTGGCATGTGTGAGGCCCTGGGTTAATTTCCAGTACTGCAGAAACAAACAAATAAATAAATAAATTCCTCTGCGCATTTCTCTCTTAATTACATCTCTGTTGGACACTCTGTGTTCCCCATCAGTGCGAATCCACTGGATGGCCAAGAAATATTGTGGATTCCTCTTTTGCACATGCTTTCTGGGAAAGAATTTTGTCTGACCATTCTGAGACCATTGGCTGGACAAGGGCCAGTTATTAAAACAAGAACTTAGAGATAAACCAATTTAATTTCATTTTCATTTTTAAAAGAAACACAACACCTTTATTTTCTCTTCTCATCAAAGTCATTCTGATAAAACATTTTTTTTCCTGTTATAAAAACTTCCCATAAAAGTGCTACATCTCACTATCTGACCAGTAACAGATGTGCCCATGCCTTGGATTGCCTGGTATATGTAATTTTTCACTTTGGATTTCATAAGAAATTAAAATGTGATCTTGGCAGTTCTTCAGAAAGTTAAACATAGAGTTGCCATATGATCTGCAATTCTAAGAGATCTGAAAACATATGTTCACATGAAAACTTGTACATGAATGCTCACGACAGTATCACTCGTACTAGCTGAAAAGTAGGAGCAACCTCAATATCTATCAACTGATGAATGGATAAACAAATATGGCATCCACAAATGGTATATTATTCAGCCATAAAGAGGAATGAAGTTCTGATACACGCTGCCACAGGAATGAACTTTGAAAATGTTAGGTTAAACAAAGAAGCCAATCACAAAAGACTGCCTAGTGTAAGATTCCATTTATGCAACATGTCCAGGAGAAGCAGATCCTTAGGTAGAGATCCACAGGCGGAAAGTAGACTACTGGTTGTCAAGGGGTGAAGAGTGGTGGTGGAATGAGATAGTGGTGATGTTTGCATAAAAAACACTGACTTGTACACTTTAAAATGGTTAAAATGGTGAATTTTATTTGAACATTTTAAAAAGCTGTGATCTTTGAGATGGTGAAAAAAAGATAACAGTGATGTCAGAATAGTCCTGTGCTATTTGGGGAATATAAAATTCTGGATGCTTCCTGGTGGGAACTTCTGAATGTTCAGACTTTGTTTTCAAACTCTTCTTGAAGATCTATGCAGTCCACCATCCATAAACTCGGTGGATTGAGGAGCCTCAGACTCTTGCAGTAACCCACCATGCCCACTAGGAGCCCCAGCCACAGATGGAACCGGAGCTTATCTCAGCAAAAGGATTTCCCACCCTGGACCTAAGGAGTGTGCTGTATGGCCTCATTCACCCCATACAGTTTCGTCTCAGTCCCAATGCCCAGCGCCCATCCTTATATTTGAATAGGCAAATAACCAAGACGGCTGATGAATTCCTGGAATCCTCTTGATTTTACTGGTTAGAGGTGAGCTGCCCAAGGTATTGGGTTTTCAAACACAGTAACAGCCAGACTTTCAGTGTCGTCAACATTTCAAAACACCTGTGAACCCAGTGGGAAGAGAGGAAGAAACAGGAGACTCAGAGCCTCCTGGAAACCGCAACCCTAAAGCCCACACATCCCTCGGGGGAAGCAAAGCAAACCGGACGCATAGGAAATCCTTGTTTTCCTGGCTTTCCCAAGAGGTCTTCAGCCGTGTCCTTGGGATATCCATGAGAGAGCCGGAGGCAAGGAGTGGACACTTCAGAAAGCAGCGGAGAGCAGGAAGAGGCTGCTACATCGGCAAGAGGTGACAACCTCGTGCTGTACAGGAACACATTGTGTGTCACGGGCACGAGGTAAAGGACAATTAAAGCTGTTTGAAAAGTACAGCTGGGGTCATGGGGGGTATAAAAGCCCCCCAAACTACAATTGCCCCAATAACGCCACCGATGGAGCAGACAGCAGTAAAAACCAACAATGAGAAGAACGTGGGAGGCTGTAAGAGGCAGAGCCGAGCCCTGTGCATTTTGATAGCTCTTGGTGACATCACGGCAGCATACCAAGGTACAAAAGGGGCTGATGTTTATAGAGATGACCATGACTCCGTAAGGACAGGGTGGATACTCTCCAGTGGACTCTGTTTGCTAAGGCAGGGAAGTGTGTGATACATTTAAGAAAGATTTCCCTCAAAAAATATTAAAATTTTAAAGTCAGCACTTAAAGGGTTACTCCTCAGTTATCTGAATATTTTGTTCAGATACCTCATTCACGACAATGCTAGAAAATGAGGCATTGCTTTTTTTTTTATAATCATTAGTATCAAATTATTGGCACCATTCAGTTGTAAGGGTAGGGACAGGAGAGCAAACTCCACAACAACATAAAAATACAGTTCTGGTACAAAGGTACGAGATCGATTCCATTTAACAAGCAGTCGTAAGAAATGGATGGACAGTTTACACACAAGGAAATACAGCTAGGAAATCATCATGTGGAAAAGTGCTCAGCTTTTGTAGCAATTAATGAAATAAAACAACTTTTCAAGAACAACTGTACATATCCATTAAACTAGTGAAAATAAATAAAAACAGCAAAACCCAATACTGGCAGAGCTAATTGGTAAATAGAAACGCTTATACATTGCTGGTGGCATCATAAATTTTAAAGGGGATTCAAGCATTCAGAGGGGGAAGGGGGTGTTAAACTAGATGACCTTTAAGGTCCTTCCAACCCAGAGATTGGATCTTTCTAGAAAGCAATTTGGCAATATAAAACAAGAGCTATAAAAGTATTTCATGCTCTTTGACCTTGTAATCCCTCTTTGAAGATACTCCCAAAGGGAATACTCCAAAGGAAGGAACTTTTTTTTTTTTTTACAAAGACATTCATAGCAGCACTATTTATAAGAGTGAAAAAAATGGATATAACTCAGATATCTAATGGGAGAAGTGAGGTTAA